ACAAAATACTAATCTTCCGACCCCCTCCACTACCTCTTCAAACCTCCAGATTACCCAAAATAGGCAATTTCACCCCCTATGAGAACCACTGGGGTAGTATAATTATTTTGCCCCAGATGTTCTCTGTGAATTGAATTTCTAAACATCCAATTCTTTTTGCTTGAATTCTATGACGTTGCTTATGATCACATTTTGTAAGCCATTCACTCATGTATTCTTGGTAGTCGTGAATAAGATTCTCTTTTAGGAGGTCCACTCGTTCCGTTTTTGAAGCGACAGTCGGAGCCTGAACTCGTGAGTCAACATATTTTTGAGATATTTTACTCAGTTGATATACTTCACCCTTCATAGATGATATTACTTTTAATGTCTTCATATAATGATGATGGTGCTGATTTCAGAGTGCGCAGCTTACATTAGTAGATCGTGTTATGCAATTAAAGCAGCGAATTGATCTCGATGATATTGCCATTGACCCGGCACCGTTTCAACTCGTTATGGGCACATCACTTTATAAGGTTCATTCAAGAGATCGAAAGCTTTTCTCTGGAAATATCGTAGTTTCTGGATTAAAATTCAAGCTAATTCTACTGCATCAATGCTCTTATTCGTTGTTTTCCTTTCAGGTGCATACACTTTTCTCTTTGCTGAGTCTCAATCATGCGTATGTGACACATCGTGGACGATTGGTTGGTGTTATAGCCATAAAAGAGGTGAGCTTTTGATTTTTCTTCAATCATTGCTTCAAATCCCTCTCAATGAACTAATTCCGCTGCAATAACTACTTTTGATTCCATGCAAGTACCGTTTTGATGTTCGAATACTTCCTCACTAGTAGCTAGTACCAAATCTGTTTGTTTGCCACAACCGATAGACCTTGCTAAACCTTTCGATTTTTCAAATCGAGCAAAATGGTGACGGCATCCGACCGACGTTCGGTCAAAAAATCCGATAAATTTCGTCCGGAATACCGACACTCGCATTCCCACCGAATGGTTTTGAAGTTCGATTGGAATTCCGAATTTCTGACTGTCAAACCGAACTATTCCGAAGTTTGCTCGGAGTTGTGAATGTTGGAATTCCGGCCGATGAATGCCGAAATTCGGTCGGATGCTAGAGTCGATGTGAACTTCGCACTATTTATTGATCGGATGCGAAATTTCATGAGGTGGAGAACTGCTATACTAAAAGAAGATTTTGCATTTATTCTCCGATCACGTACACCCGTGAAATTGACTGCAGTTGCGTGAAGCACTAGCCGATATCTACACTCGCGGTGCGGTACCAACGCATTCAAGCCGTCGCAGCACCCTCTCGCTATCGCCCCCCTACGCAGAACAGGCATCTCCGACAATCACGGTTGACAAGATGACGTCGCCGATCTCCGGCATTCACGTGCCAGTGCTGTCGTCCATGCCGATCAGCGCCACCTCTCAGACGATTCAAACAAGCCAAACGCTCGCTGCAGAAACCACAGATTCAGCCGCATCTGGAAGTAGACGAATGAGTGCGGACTCGTGCGCAAGTGACTCCACTGGACCATATCGGAATACGATCCAACTGTCAAGCAGGAACAGTAACGCGAACGAAACGTTGGACGATAATGAAGAAGAAAATTTGTTGACTTGATGGAATTTAAGAGACATTTATGCCTATATCTGTTCTTGCACGGATCCACACTCAGGAAAATGAATTCTTGATCTGGTCAACTGAAATCTCGAGATTCAATGACATGATGCGATATAGTTACACAAAGTGAAATTAACTTATAACTGCTTCAATCCTGATGCTTTTTCATGCCTGTTTGGCTGTAAGAAGATTATACGTACATGTTACAGCCATTAGGCATAGTGTCTTTCCCAAAAGTATTCTATGAGATGATTCGAGAGTACTGCATAATACCTCTGCAACCGCATGTCGAAAAGGCTAGAATGAACATGATATCATAAACTCTAACCTTTTACAGTCATGACCACTAACTCTTTGCATGCTCGGAATTTGAATCTGCACACCGATGCTATCAGCAGCGTTACTGCAAAACGTTTTCGTCGTATAATAGTTTCAGTGCTTCAGTTCGATGCCCTTCATCAGCTGGAACGCTGGAATTGTTCGAAAATAATCTCTTTTTACCGATGAGAATATTTCTGCACACACCATCACTACATTCTGCATACGAATGAATCTTTCAGCTCGTATGATGATTACCTTGTCAAGTTCAGTTCAACTGTTACGATGCTCAAATACGAGTGATATTTAACCGAGCATTTAAGTGCGATCACTTTTGCTATTCCATTGGAATTTTTGCTGCTCGAATCCGGATAGGTGATGAGTTAGTTTAAATTCATTAAGACTAAGCAAGATGATGAATTGGCTCAAAATGTTCTAAAGCATACATTCTCTTGTACTAAGAACAAAACGTCACGTTTCAGCCAACCCTTAATTACAGTCGTTGTTGTTATTTTGTTTTTGTTATTATTACTGTGCAAACTTGTGAAAAAATATGTATGTGATCGTCTACATTCGATTCGTAATTTTCAATTGATTCTGCAATAAATGTACGTATTTTCATATTTCACTTCTGCTCGCCTGTTATTTCATTTATAAAGAATGCTTGAATGTCGTATAAATTCATTTACATGATGAAATCAAATCGAGAAAGTTCTTTACGCTGATTCCATGCGATATTATTTTGTCATTCAACTTTCGGCGATAAATCATGTATGAACCGATAGTTCTTTCAGAATGAATTGAAACAGGCAGATAAGATCCAGTTTATCAGATGTAGAATACAAAGTAATAAAGATATTTTGTCCTAGGTTCATCTTTATGCAGACTTTGCAGGTAGCGTTCCAGTGCTGTCAATTTTGGAAGCGATTCTCCTGTGTCACACAAATTTTGAATTTCCTACATCAAAAACTTTTTGCGAATGTTCTTACTGTTGACTTCACTAGTTATCTTTTATTTACTCTCTTTAAAATTGAAGTGTGACTGTCAGTTTGATAGTTTGCAATTGTAAAGTATGAATCAATCGTAAACATTTATTGCATTTTTTTCTATGACCTTTTTTGCACGTAACCTTTTCAATCTGTGGTATGCGTTTTCGTTTGATCCGAAAAAATTGTAGGAGTTTTTCTGTGAGCGGAACAATTAAGGGACAATTAAGACGTACTCGAATGCTCACAAACAGTCTAATCTTTCATAAACAATCACGCGATCGGTTTGCCGAAAAACGAATACTGCCTACGAGTTTGACAAATTCATAACGCTCAGTTACGATGTAACATCTTGATGTAACCATCTAAGAATACGTGACAATCTGAATAAAATCAGCAGTTCCCTGTCAAAAACGAGTTACAGTGTCACGAAGCATTAATTGCATATATTTAAACCATTCAGGACACATTACGGACAAAAACGATAAAATATCAAGCAACTACCCACCATCCTTGATCCGCGATATATTGTGATCAAGTCGTGATCAAATTATAATTTTGTTGTGCAGTTATTATTGTAATTCTGTGTTGGATTATAAAATTCAAGTACGAGCGGAAAATCATTGAATTGTATTATTGTAATTATCGTAATTATCATGAAGGTATCATTAGCTTATCGATTCCATTTCAGTAATCATT